CACATAGGCAGGAAAGGTAAATCGGTTCTGAATATTTTTGGAGAGATGTGTCACCTATATTGCTGCCATCCTGGAAGCTCATTTGAATGCCCTAGGTTTCATCAGTACAGCATCAAGCAGTACCCTGTGCAAGTACCAGCCTTAAATAGCTATATTAAGTATACAATTATTTCATTATAAGGAACAGCTAATAGCTATATTAACTGTATGTTTTCAGAGCTTATTAACAGAGTGTCTGTAATCAAGAGCAGCATCTTGAATATTGTAGGGCAAATTAGAAAGGGATTTCATCATGTGCTCTACTCCTTATGGAATGAAAACAAACCAAACAGGGTCAGAATTGGATCCTACAGTAAGGAAAAGATAGAGTGACCTGCCCTTTTCTGCTTTTGCTTAGCTTTGGCAGGCTTTATCTCAGTTTTAACTTAAAACTTTACTCTTATACTATGCAAGTTATTCAAAACCACTGGTGCAGAAAAGGCAGAAAACCTCCTGCAAGCATTCAGTTCTGGTTTTAAAAATTGACTGCATCATAATAGCATACCATTCACACTCCACGCCTAGCCTACAGTTTTAATACAATGTAATTAGGGTAGGCTGGCAAGCACATTCAAAGAAACATAATTTCATGTGTTAAATAGGTTAAAGCCCAGGAGCCAAAAATACTGCTTGGTAGACAGGAATGCAGTCAAATCATGTGAGAATATGGATGGAAATCTGGCAAACTAGCCTATTTTCCTATCACCACCCACCATTTCTTTCACAAGGTTTATTGAGTGATCACAAGGCTTTTACTCTAACATTAATAGGAGTACCACTTGTAGTACTCCCAGACCTGCGTCCCAGACAAAGTGCCTGCAGGTTGACATCAATAGTAGCATCTTTCCTTGGAGACACTTCCTGGGTGCAATGTTAGGGAATGATGAAAAATGTTAGTTGTGGGCAAGGTTAAATAATAGGGCTGATTAAAATGGAGCTACACGTTAACCAGCTAAACAGACACAAATTCTCAAGGAGGATGGTGGTTTGTTTGAGCTTCTGGGAAGCACTAGGAATTTTACCCTTGTAAAATGACATACAAATACTATGCCATTAAATTGAAAATTTTTCTCATAGTTATAAGCTCAGCACCAACAAGAAGCATCTAGAATCAGGTTTCTGTGTTGTGAAAACAGACTCTGTCTTTTGCTGCTGCTTCGCTTTGTTTGTAGCCTGAGCAAAAGCACTGTCCCTGTCAGCATTACTCTTTCTTCCATTATTGTACCATGGAGTTTCAGATTTAATGTTGCTCTGTTCAGTGACCTCCTTTCTCTTCAAGCAGAAGATTTTTTGAACTGTAATTTAATCCATATTCTGGAGTATAATATTTAATGGCAATTATTTTAAAGATGGATTTTAGTCACGCAAAGACTGATAAACTTTCAGGGAAACCAAACCTCAGCATCTTGTATCAAACTGTAACAGTGTCATCGAATCACACTGCTGTGCTTTTTTCTACTCAGTTGTTGCAGGCAGATTCAGTTCCCAAAGCCCAGTTTGCTGCTTGCACTACTGCGCACTGCAGTCAGAATATAGCTGGCTGCTGATGGGCAGGTCTGAAAGCATTCACCTGTCACCTGTCAATGGAAATGAAAAACATCCCTGATTCAACCATATAAGCATTTTATTTAGGAATATATATTGAGATCAGACTTGAGATGAAAACCCAGCTCCGTAACACAATTCACTGAAATTTTTTTTCAAGGAAGAATGTTAAAAAAATAAATATATATATTTTCAAGAAATACTGAAATTACTGAATTATTTCGCTTGGGCTTTTAAAGGACAGATAAGAAAATTTGTAGTCTAACCATTCTGGACATAGGTCATTCCAAAATGTTCCTTTTCAGGATTTCTCATACCTTCAATTAAAAAAAAATTAAAGAAAAATGCAAAAGTAAAATACCAGAAGTAAAAATCCACTCCTTCAAGTCACTGACTGAATTACTGCACTTTCTCAGTCTCTTGCAAATGTGAAACCACTGCATTATAGCATGTCTTCATTATAGCCTCAGGCATTTCTTTAACAAAATGGTAGGAATGGGTCAGAACACCATGAATCACAGAACAAACCATTGGTAGAAACCACTGTTTTCTCCCTTCACTCTTCCACCGTATTCGTACCTTCTACCTTTCTTTGCTTTTATTCCTTCTGATCCCTGGGTTAAATTGGTTCTGTAGTGTATTGGTAGGGACAGGGTGGCACATAGAACCATAGCAGGCTCTTGATTTGAAACAGAGGTTTCTGGTGTTTGAAGGATTTTTAAACCTACTACAAGACACTGCACTATGTAATATTGAACATATATGTAATATCACATATGTTTTTTAAAATATCACCACTTTAAATCCTGATTTATGTTCTACAGAAAGAATGTGAATGGCTAATATTAAACAACTGAATTGCTTATAAAACCTGTAACTATTAATAACTCTCTATGGATACCTCTGTAAAACCTACAGGAATGTAACTTCACAGCCGGATGCACACAGCTGACTCATTTCTTTATCTCCCTGTCCAGTTGTAGTCACAAGGGGAAATACAATTGTTCTTATCAGGGTAACATTCTGGTAAGTTTCCTCTGAAGCTAGGAGAGGTATTTTATTGCATGTCAGATGTGTTTGTAGAGCCCTTGCATTAGGATAACAGCATCAGAGGACGGTGATCACAGGAAGCAGGAGGATACTTAGTCTCTTTTGAATTCTAATTTTAAGCTGTCATAAACCCCTTTATTCCACTTGGTAGGAAGCACAGAAGAAAAACATTTTAGCAGAAAAAAATGTACAGTGTCCTAAGGAACAGTGAGAAGGAGAAAGGACATATTGGCAAAAGGTCAATGGATCATCTACAAGGGACTTCTGCCAGGGTCTTGGGCATTGATTTAATACAGTAGTTGCATCACCCCATGAATGCCTGACCCTTAGCTCCAGCTCAGCCAGACCACAAGACCATCAACATGCAGCACATAAGAGTTTCGTATTAGTTCTCAAGATAGAAGTGCTTACTTTATATGACTGTAAATACAAAAGCTTTGTAGTTTCAATTGACAGCACATGCTGTTAAAATGACGCAAGAACCTCTTTTTAACCTGTTTCTAGATTCTTGTTGCCCTTCTTTTAAAAAGACAGTTACACCATTTCAGATTCATACTCCCAGGACAACTGCAGTAATATGCTTCCCCAGCCAAAGAGCCACATTAGGTGTTTGTTTTCTAGGTGACGCATTTTTACTTCTCTTTAGGTGCTTCTTAGTAACTATTTCTTGTACAACAGCAAACTGTCTCCTCCAAACCCATACTGGTCAATTTGGTGTAAGCTTTTCTTCACACTAGAGTGCAGCACGCTGTTTCCAGTGATGTCCTTTTTATCTCGTTACTGTTTTGAGAACAGGACATTGCAGAGAAAAGATGTGCTTCATTGCAGGTTTCCCAAAGCAGGTTTCACAAGCTTTGTCAATGACTAGGTAAGCACTAGGCATGGTTAAACACAGATATTTTTTTTTTGTTAATTATTATAATTTTTTTAAAACAAGGCATAAACCGTTTAAACAAAATGTGGAGCCATTTCCACCTACCTTCTTCCTTTAAGCTTAGGGGAAAAAGGTTTTCTGTGAAAACTTACATGTACTGTACATACTCATCCTAAATGAGAAAGTGTGGTTTTAAAATTAAAAGAAGATTAAATTAGTAACATTTAAAAAGTTACTAATCTGTTCTCCAGCTGAAAATTCATCAAATTTAAGGAGATTGATTCTCATTGGTAGTTTTCTCTTCACGAGAGTTACCCTTCTTTTTGAATGTTTCCATCACATTTTTTCCAGTCTCTGTCACTTGCTGAACATGCCTACTACTAACATCACACCCTCATAGTTCTAACTCTTGTACTTGTTAATAGTGTGCAGACTACAATCCTCAAAGAGCAAATCTCATTTTGCTGGATCAGCAACAGCTGTTCTGAGAGCTTATTCAGATCCTTTTGACCTGTGACCTTTTCTAGGACTGAACACCCCACGCCAGTAGAAAGAAGAAAATAAAAAACTCCAACACATTTTCTTTAGCTGGCCACATATTTATATTCTAATCAGAGCAGCAAAGTAGTAATGAGTATGATTTCTAAAAAAATTCCAAAGTCTTAGGCCAATAATAATGGAAAAAACTGCAACTCCAGAAGGGGCTTTGATGGTATGTACAGTCAATAGATATTCTCCAGTTCTTCAGAAGAACTAGAAACCATTGCAACAGTGAATGTTTTGTCCTGGAAAACATGGAGAGGAAAACCAATTAAAAAAGAAAAAGAAAAGCTACCATAATACAGGCCTGTGAACATGCTGTACATCGGAATGCCGATTCCTCTCCATAAGCAAAAGGAGCCTTGCTTCAGCAAAAGATTGCAAGTTTTTCAATGCATAAGTGTTTCCTGGATATTGATTTAATTGTATAGTTAAAGTATGGTTGGATGAACACCTAAGAAGTACAGATATTCAACAGCTCAGTGTCAAGTCCTTCAGGCTTAGAAAATTCAGTCCCAACACTTTGCAATTTCATTTAATTTTAATATAGGAAAATAGTAGTGTTTATTTGTCAAAGTTTGCAAAAAAAATAAACTGCATTCACTTTAAGTTTTCTTTACAAGTGAAGCAACAAAGACAATTATAACTTACATAATTTTTATAACAATGAGGAAGGGATTAGCATTTTTAAGTTAATTTGGTGGTTTGCAAGTATTTGGCAATAAAGTTTGATTTCTTTCCTAGTTTTTTCTTTTACAGCAGGGATAAATAAAGCTTTTTTATATATTATAGCAGGCTTGTCCTTCACAATAGATCCACTTTCCAATTCATGGAAAAGTGAGTTTTATATCCAGCAACACATAACTAAGCAAAACTTAACTGAAGTCCATTCAGCACATTCAGTTCCCAAAGAACAGTGACATAAATGATTAACTTCCACAGACACACGGAATGCTGTAAGTTATCCTGAGGCAAAAGACTCGTAATGCACAGAAGTTGTAACCGTGAGTTCATCTGTAAAAAGGCCCTCTCCTTCTTGAAAACAAAGATGGATATTTCATGCTTTCCCAAGACATTTCTTAATGAAATATCCCACTAACTTCTGCGGCCTCTGCTGATACTCCACAAGGACATCATGTGAGCTGCTGATTTGATCTCCTTCGAGCCGATTCAGAAGAGTGACACACACTACAGCAGCTAGAAGTTAAAAGACAGGATTAGTTAGGAATAATATTCTGGCACTTGTACAGTCCAAAAGCATAAGCATTTGAATGAACAGCTAGAAGACAAGAATTACAAGAGAAAACAAACCTCAAAAAAGGGTGTGCAGTACCATAAAATGCTAGTGTACTAGCATGCTGCAAAGGATAGAAGTCAGAAATAGCTTAAGAGATTGCTACATTAATGAAGCCAGAGCTCTCAGGTAGCTGTAGACACTTATTGTTATATCATAATTCTTATGTTTTTCTGGATAGGAAGGATATTTCACAAGTACCCAGGATTTGACTGCTAGGAAGTGACTAGACACACTGTTCTAGCAGATGTAATCACAGCCGTCTCCTTTAACCCCAGCCCAAGTGTCTGTGCTGTAGGTGCCACCCCTCAGGAAGCAGTAGATAAGCCCCTTCCACATTCATAGACAGGGAGCACTGCAAGCACATGAGGACCTCATGGACCATCTCAGGTTCATCTGCTGCCTTTCAGCCCCAAAGGCAAAATCCCTCCTTTCAATCCAGCTGAGCTCTATCACTCAACCCTATCACTGTGCTCTGTCTGGGATTTCTGACAGTGGGAATTTGCAGAGCACAAGCAGTAAATACACATTACAGACCTACAAGGCAGAGACAGCAAAAAGGACCAGGCTCTCTAATGGTTCAGGGATACCACTGGTTGGGTTTTTAATCACTCAAATCAGTAAGAACTAAGGATGTTTGATATAATTGCTGGTCTTTTTGTTTATACTTCTTCATTTCATCCTCCTTAAGTTTAAGAACTTTGAGAAACATCAGTGTTTTAAATTGGCAAATCCCTTGCTAAGGAAACCGAGAGAAGACAATTTAGACAGTAAGAAGACACTGTATGACATTATTTGTAATTGCTTTTTTTTCCCCTGATCTTTGCTGAAAATTAGTTAGCTTGTGTAAAATACTTGAAAATTCATTTTATGATTGGGAATGGTTTATTCATGATGCTACTAAAACTCCTCAACTGTTTAAGAAGCAAACTCTTACATCTACACAGAATACTTATATTTTCAACCTGATATGAAAGTATAGAAAGTTAGTATAGTTCTATATATATGAGAATCACCTGATTGCTTAAACTAACCAGTTGTTGTCTGTAAACTTCAAAAGCTAACTGAAGATAACAAATGAATGATATGAGTAACTAGGCATTTAAATGATTTACATGGTTGCCAGGGGCTGGAATAGCGAATGTCAGTAGCAAACTCTGTAAAAACTATGTGAAGAAGTTTGATAAGTTGTGACACATCTGATACAAATCAAGCAATCACAGCAACAAAATTATAAGCAGAACCGTGTTTTGCTTTTTTTTTTTATATGCAGAAGGTACGTTAACACTTCATTTGCAGTTTTTAACCACGAACTCCCTGCAACGCAGAAAACTTCCTGTAGGTTGGATAAAGTGACTAAGTTGGTTTACCTTTGACACCGCTGAGATTACACATTGCAGCAAATACGGAAGATTCCATCTCAATGTTTCTGACGCCAGAATCATAAGCTTTCTTCAAATATTGGAGTTTTTCTTCTTCGTCATATAAGCAGATTGCACCATCCAACCTGCCCTGTCCTAGAAAGTAATTTTGTGGAAAATTTCAGAGTGATGAAGTCACAGAGCAAATTCAGTTTCGAAAACACCCAGTTATTACAGTTTCCCCTATGCAGTGTTCAGCTTCTGCTACTACTACTCTTTATTTTTGCACACAAGACAAATAGGAAAAAGTTACTCTTAGGTATTGCTAGAGGTTCTACATAATAGTTGTATTTTTTATAATGTGAATCATGGCAATTTAATTGGTCTTCTTCGGCTTAAATTCTCAAATTCATAAACAGGATTGGGAATGGTTTATTACCATTACTACTATGTACATAGTAGATTCCCATATGTGCAGCAAGCATCAAAATTCAGCAACAAACCTTAGGTTGTATGGAAGTGCTGCATTTTTAATATGTTTAATCACTATCTAGAAAAACTGCCAGGTTTGAAAATGTTGAACACTTTATTAGTTACAGACTCTCTAAGGTAAGAGATGAAGAGTCTCTTAAGCTAACTAGGCAATATTATTATAATTTTTTGAGAGAAGTTTTATTTGAATTATTCAAGAATAGCACCTACAGATAAAACAGTAGCAGGTTGTGTATAGTAAAGTTAAATTACACTGTATTTTACTCAGTATCTTCTTGGTTTTGGGAAATGCACTCCTGAATTAATGCCCTTGAGCCTGTTCTCAGCTTTTCCTGTATGAGTTGAAAACGTTCCTGACACTTTTTTTAGTATTGCTTGCACCTGTGGTTGGTGCCTGAGGAGATACACGAACTAATAGTGTGTGCTTCTGCCCAAGCTGGAGCACTATGACGAACACCATGTACTTCCCCCTGCACTGTACCCTTTGTCACCTACTCAGCAACACCCAAAGAAAGTGGGATCAGGTGCCATTTATAAACATCTAGATTTAGGAGATCAGAAAAGCACCTGAATGTCTGTATGTTTATCCAAGGTAAGCCTTGGAGGTTTGTACCTCCTACCAAGCAGCACTGACACAACTCGGCAAAATATTGTCTTCAATTGTCTGATCACTGCTTTGCTCAAAATGAAACATGTTACAACAATTCTTTTAGAAAATATTTACTTTAGGTATTTAATCAGTGCAAAGAAAACCAACTCCAAACCACTCAAATAATTCTCATTCCTCTATTTGTGACAAATATACCTGAAAAGTACATGAGAAGTGTATAGTAGACTATATGTACTTCAGAGAAGCTATTAAAGCTGGAGGACCATCTCCACAAAATTAAAAGTTTAATACAGCAAACTGGTAAGCACAATGCTTAATTTTATGTAGATGAAGAACCGGTTAATTACGATTGGTGAGACAATCCACAGTAAGGAATGCGTTCTGTTCAGTGAACTGGAAGCTTAATGTTAATATATTATCCAATATTTATCTCTTGCTTCTTACCAATAATTTTCTGTTAGTCTGTCACCAGCCTTACCTTCATAGAAATCCAAAGTGCACATGGTGTTCCCAATGACTGTGTTGAACTGACCGATTTCTTTACTGCACTGCATCAGCTCCTTAGCCAGCTGTTCATCTAGGTTAGTACTGCGAATTACTGTCTTTCCCAGAACAACCTGTTCCAACTGAGGTTTGAAGGTGGCATCTACAGACTGCCTAGTTATAACCACTGAGCCTGGCTCCAGACCTGCAGTAAAAAGAAATAGATATAACTTCACAATGCAGTTAACACTTTGTTTCCACACACATAAAACATATATCTTGACCCAATCTTGTTTCTTTTATAGGTGGTAATTTTGCCCCTGAATTCATCAGGAGAATTTTCTGCCCATGCCTATCTGTTCCCATTTATTATTACAAAAATTTCTGAAAGAATTGAATTTTTTCTTTTTCACTACATGTTCTTTCTTATATCATATTTACATAGAGGACAAGAAGGTCGTTCTCACAGTTAGATCTCTTAAGTGCATCTTCTCTATCAAAAGGCAGGTTTTGCACTTACTTTCAAAATTACAGAAGAAAAATTATTCATCTCCTGTGGAAAGCTGTTCTGACCATCAATCCCTTACACAAAGAGAGATGCCCAACTTTCCTACAAAGATACTTATGTTTACAGAAATAAAACAGAAATCAAGAGAGAAAATACCTATTCCACCAGAGGTGCCAATGCGAATGATGGTTATGTTGGAACACTTGGCATGATACAACAATTTGATCAGCTCATGCAACATGATTGAAATAGAAGGAATGCCCATACCATGCTGAAAAAAAAGCAGAAATTCATACTCCACAGTCATATAGATAATGCAAAATATATATGGAAAAAAGAGCTGAACATTTTCTCCTTTCTGGTATTTTTTTCCAAATGCCACCTAACTCACTCCCACAAAATCCCCAATCTCCGGGCCTACCAAGAGGTTATTACAGATAAACAGAGAGACTCCCACTGGCTTTGGTAGATTGTGGATGAAATACAATATTTCTAAAAATCATGACTTATAAAACATTTACATTTTCAAGAGCACAATCAGTGTCCTTTCCCAATCGCTGACTAATGCACTTCATCATGGAACATTTCCTAAACACAAGAAAAACCCCACTCTGACTTTTTCACCAACCTGAAGTGTTAGTGAATAGTTAAGCTAAATTTTTTTCAAAAAAAAGACATCATGGTTTAGTCTCAGTGTTCAGTAAATAGAAGTCCACCTTGACTTGCACAACACTATGATAATTACAGATTGAAAGAAAGGGTGCAGAGTAATATTACAGTTTTGCAATTGCAATTGAAATATGTAATTGTATTTACAAATTAAAGACATGAAGTTTTAAAATGCATATATGAGTTGGCAGCACCAGTCCCATGACATGCTAGTCTTAAGCTATAGTAGCATATTTGACAGTGCCATTGCAGATATGTAGCTCTGAATGTGATATAGCCATTTTCTCCAGTACCCCACATATCTCAAGTGACATTTTTCCCCCATTACATACAGTACAGAACAGGGATGAGGCAACAGTAAGTCTTCTTAAAAAATCAATAGCACCATTCCTGCAACACCTCAGAGGTACACTGAGAAAAAAGGATGCAAGAAGGAAGGAAGGTGCTGGAGGCTTTCCCTCTTATGAGAAAGGGTTGAAAAGGAAGTCTTAATTAGCTGGCTGCACTATTTTGATCATGGCTGATACAAACTTAACAGCCTTACTCAGTGTATTAAGTGTTTAAAAGAAACGTGCATTCATATTTTCTACTTTGAACAGCATCGCTGAACTGTGTCCCGTATCAGATGACATGAGGTACTTACACTGACAGACAGAACAGGTCCCACTTTGTACATGGCGTAGCGGTCAGTGCCTGCGCAGATGTTGGGGTAGTCAAAACCGGTGCTTCCAAGCCCCAGTTCCTCCGCTATGTAGGCGATAAAAGCTTTCATCCGTGAAGGGCTTCCTCCAACACACACAAACTGTGGTGGACAGTATTCAGCAAAGCAAAACCAGTTGCATAATTCAGTATGTCAAAGAATGTCCAAAGAACAACATGAGTATATGCAAACACTTTCAGTAAACACTAAGTTATTCCCAGATATAGTTCTTCTCATAATCATTCTAAAACATCATGAAGAAAAATCACGGAAAAAAACCCCAACTGTCTACATAGCACTCAAATGCCTTCATCCTGTTTAAACTAGTAAAAGACAAATATTGGCATGAAGACCCAATAAATAGGAGTTCTAATTGAACAGAGCCTACAGCATTTGCCTTTTTACTGAATGGAAAGAGACAGTCAAAAACGATTATCCCCAACGTTTTTAGATACAGAAAGTGACATAAACCCACAAAAACTTTTCCCCTTTGCATTCACTCCTCAATCAGTGGTACGCTGACACATTTAGTTCTATTTTGAAGACAGCTACTCTCCCATTTTCTGCAGAAAAGATGAGGCTTGCTGCACAGAGCAAAGCATCTTACCTTTACATCTCCAAACAGTGCCGGAAAATCATGGGTACCAGTCCCAAGAGCAAAATGGTACAGGATGTCTTCTTTCATTTTCTCCAGGTGAGGGTTGCACAGATGGATAAAATTCTCTCTGCCAAGACAGCAGCATTGTGAAACATATAGAGCGTATACAAACCCACATGTTGAACAGATGCCAATTCTTCAAAGTCAACCAGTCAGAGTTGGGAAATACCACACCCATATGTATGCCTGCACTACGTTATTTTGGTTCCTCATGCATTGCGTTAAGGAAATCCGAAATTTTGTAATTGCCATACATCTTGTAATAAATCACATTTGACATTTAATATTCCATTCATTGCGCAGAATGAAATTGCTGAAGAAAAGTCTAGCTGCTAGGATGCATTTGTAACTGTGCAACATTCACCTTAAACAATATTAAAGCTGTAAACCACAGTGGGTCTTTATGGTGAACAGAACAATAGGAGCAGGACCAGAGAATATTCAATAGACTACCTTACTACAAAGACAATCTATAGCAAAGCTGAAAAGCAAACAACCTGTTTTGACTGAAACTCCCCATCACCACCACCAGCTACCTGAGAAGGAGGGGATAATTTGGGCTTTATAGACAGGCATGAAGTGGATTTCTGTCAATTTGTCTCCTTGTGTCATAAACACAGGAGGAAAAATATCCTACAGCATGAGACTGATAAGGGTACAGAGAATCTGAAATAGGAGAGGAAAGAGGAAAATGGAAATCTGAAGCAAAGAAAAAACCATAGGAGGGGAAAAAAATCAACAAAAAGGGAAAAGAGAGGAAGAGGTAAAAAGAATTAATTTCTTCTTAAGTTGCTTCTTGTAAGGAAGTGATACAGCTTAAAAGAAAAATAAAAATTGATCTGTCTGAAGAGCCAGGAAATGACAGGTCAAAGAGGGAAACCTGAACTACTTGGCATATGGGATCACCTTCGTGGAAAATTCAACAGTAGACTACCTAAACAAGCTGCATGATTCATAAACTGTCTACCTTCTGTGCTTGATGTTTTAAGTTCAATTGAAACAGGTAGGAAAGACTAGTCAATAATCACAAGCTTAAGCAGAACCCTGGCCAGTACTTCAAAGTAATTTCTGAGAGATGGAATCAAGTAGTAAATAGCTTTCAGACACAAGAAGATGGGTTCGCTTAATTAATGGCTTAATGGAGGCTCACTTCAGGCACAACACGGCTCAGCAAATTCAAACTGCTTTGTCAGAGGAGACAAACAAAACGTTCACCTGAATTTTATGCAAAAAAGCCTTAAGACTTTGCAGGAACAACTCTGAATCCTAAACAGAAGCATTTAGTGCTATTTTTGATGGTTTAGGTTATCTTGTCTGCCTTCTAATGCCTCCCTAGAAAAGCTTTCCTGTAGGTCTTATGTAGGTCCTATCTGCCAGTCCTGCGCAGGACGTATGGGTTACCTTAGAAAGCCTACAGCGGTCAAGATGAGGTCACTGAACTGGTCCTCAGAAAGCAAATAGTTACAACCCAAACATTCTGAGTACAGCAATTGCTTCTGTTCTTGGTATTCTCTTTCCAATATCACTAACTATCCAGTAACAACTGCACAACCAAGGAAAGAGGTGTCATCCCAACCCACCCTATCTGATCTTGCCCACCACAGACAACCACCTTCAGCAACTGAAGGAGCTGCCCACTCAGACAGCTGGTCCATTCACCCCTTCAGTAGGAATTCGCTTCCATCTCTGACAGGCCCCATTTGCCTCTCTTCGTACAAATCCTGCCTGAGGTGGAACCAAAGACTGGTTGCCTTTGTTCTTCCTTCCAAGAGACCTGTTTGACTCTGGAAGAACTAAAGAGCAGGTTTATGGCTCATCAGGAAGGCAAAGACAGCCTTGGAGTCTGCCAGCTCATGTGAGCAGAATTCCCAGGCTGCCTTCCCTGAATTATTCCTGTTCATTTTTGTGGGACTCCCTACCTTATTTACTGGGTCACTCACTAATGCAGATCCAATATCCAGCTGTGCTGATGTTCATTGGAATGGCTTTTACATACAAATAGGATATGATTTGAAATCACTTTACAATTTGTTCTCAGGCAATCAAAAAAAAAAATATTTCCTTCTTTATGAGAACACCAGCAATAAAAGCTTCTCTTCAGGAAATAAACTGGGAAAAGGCGAGGCCTCTACTGAAACTACAGGGAAATTCATGCGGTGTGTGCCAACACCACTGTCCTCATGCCTGGTAAAACACAGCCTCCTTCCTCAGCAGTGGCTATATTCCACCTTTTTCATCTCACACTCCATCAACAATACTCTCCAACCCCCCAACTCACTGCAGCGCTGGGCCATTACCAATTTGCACAGCTTATCTGCATATCTAGTTGTAGACTTGGACCCTAAGGTAAAATGGGCAATAAAAACAAGCATATTTTTATGTTTACGTAGGATCAATGCCATGGATTTACAGTAGAGGCAAAGTTTGCTTGATAAAAATCTTTGGCATGAAAATCTCAGGAGAAGAAAATTTATTTCCCTCCAGCTATTGTAAAGCATCTACAACTTCTGAGGTTTTAAGCAAAATACAAGTATCTGAAGACTAAACACACATGTATGGTATTAGTAAAATAAGCTTACAGTAAGGATTAGAGAAACACACTGAAATATTTGTTTCAACTCTTGAAGCAGGTATGTCTGGCCATATGCAGTAACCAAAGTCAATATTTCAGTAGCTCATCAGATTAAAATAAACTAATAAATAAAAACATCACTCAGACTTGGAAAAAATCACTGTTGAGATAAAGGAAAATGGCTAGCTCTGTGTAGGTGTGGTAAAGCAATAAAGCATCCATTTGTCAAAACAGTTCCTGTTGGATACTTGATGTTATAATCAATATTTACATCGTACCCTAACTTAACAAGTGTGTAATGAGTTTGGGGAGGAAGGTTAAGTGTAAACTTGGACAAAGTAATTAATTTCTGAGTCTTACTTTGAAGCCTGTTCATCATCAGTTTTCTTCTTATTTGAGGCACCAGGAGCCATGTGTGGTTATACCTAGAATTGTATTAAAAAAATAGATATAAGTGCATCAGAATAGTCCCATCTGTAAAGCTAGAAGCATTAATAGTGAGAGAAACCTTCTGTATCTATAACTCTCATGAATATTAAATCCCCCAAATAATCCAGCCACACTACAGCTTTTATAACTGTAGCAAAAAGAGCATCTACAATTTTTATGGCTAATTTTTTATTAGCCTAAACTAATCCCTTGCTAACATAACCCCCACCTCACAACTGCCTCTGTCCTGTGCTGTGAGCAGCAGCAGGCTCATGGGATAGAGAGAGGCAAGTCTCATGCTAACTAACCCTCTTTTTTCCATACCTCCCACAGCTACAGAGACTTCTGAACCAGCTTCAGCCCCCTTCCACGTCTGGCTCCAGAAAGTCTCCAGAGTTCAGCTCTAACTGTCAAGTGCTCAAAACCCAAGTCCAGGAAGCATCTTACTCATAATATCCTCTTCATTAAACTCCTCCTACTGACCTTAAGAACCCTTTTGTCTGCCACAGTGTAAAGGCAAGGAACATGAAAGTAAAACATGACTCCAAAAAGGCACAGCGCTTCAGTTTATCATCCATCCTGAAAATCTTTTTTGCTGATCCATTGCCCTAACCTATACCCAAAACCTTCTCCTTTCTGCATTCTTCTTTACATTTAAACAGGCAAATGTATCACTAAGGCTTTGGTGCTGATACGAAGACAGAATTGTAATTATAGAACGACTCATTTGTTAATATTTTCAGAAGTGACTAAGGCTACGTGCTGAAGTTGGTACTTTCTGGGAATGTCCTTCTGGGAAGTACTGAATCATAAAGTTTTGCTCTACCCTTCCCTAAGAAGGGCCTTACAGCACAGAGACTATAATAGAGGTAAGACCTGTAATCCTTAAAAATGCCAGGATCACAAGGAAACAGAAAGAAATTGGTATTGCAATAGAATTACATCATATGTGAATTTTAAGAGAAGTGAAAAAACAAACAAAATAAACCACAGGCTTGCCTGTTAAAAGCCACTGAAAAATGGAAATGTATTAAAAATTATATAGACAATTAGTTTTCTTCATTTAAAATATTAAGCTTTATTAAATAGACCTAAACTTCACATGTACTAGATATACTAACTGTATACAACCACCTGTACTCAAGGAGGTAGAGTATAAAAGTCGCATTCAGAATCAATTACTCATCCTTATGGTGGTATGATTAGAGTCAGCTGCTACAGGAAATTACAGGAAAAATGCATCATTTCTTCCAAGAAAACTACAGTGCCATGAGCCCTACTAAAGAGGAGTTGGAAGTTATACAGAGGAGTTGGAAGTTAAGAAGAAGAAACAGCAAAGTGATTTTTATGTACTGGGATGATATAGGGTTGCAAACAAACTGAGGATATTAATTCAGCTGTTGTCCAGCTGATGTTTAGCATCCATGTGATTTTTAACAGTGTTTTTTGTTCTGTGATCCCTTAAGTAATGATATACTTCAAAAAACTGAGAACAAAGTTCTGATGGTCCAAAGGTCCAGCATACACTCTGCAACAGCACTTCGCTGCAGGTGCCTTGGTAGGAATGGAAAGTAAGGAGCAAACATAAAGCAGCTTTCCCATGGCAGACCTTGCCAGCAATCAGGTAGTAGCTGACAAGCAGCGAGTTAATGTAAAGCCATAAAACTCTCACACTGTCTGAACAAATGGAAATTTTTACAGCCAAGTCAAAAGTTTCTGTAGTCTGCCTCAGCCTAAGTTAAAACTGACATTCGACAATATGCTCCTAATTCAGCTCAAGAAAGGCTTGCTTTAACATGTATGCACATCATAGGATGGTTTGGGTCAGAAGGCACCCTAAAGATCATCTAGTTCCAACCCCTCCACCACGGGCAGGGACACCTTTCACTAAATCAGAGTGCTCAGAGCTCCATCCAGCCTGTACTTGAACACTTCCAGGGACGGAGCATCACACAACTTCTCTGGGCAACCTGCTCCAGTGTCTCACCACCCTCATAGTGAAAATTCCCAGTATCCTCAAGAGTGAAGAATTCTCCTCTCATCTAAACCTCTAAATCCTCAGACTGGTGTTTTAAAACCATGCAGGATTCATTACAATTGCCATCTTTCACATCCTCCCCACACTCGTCATTTTTGAAGAAAGCCAACAGCCAACAGCTTCTGTACGGAAAAGCTCCGGTTCGGTGTTGATCCATCATCAGGAAAAGATGAAGTCGCTGCAAAACTGATTTTACCCCGCGGGTCCCCTCCGGAGGCCGCCCCGCCGCTTCTCGCTGCTGCCGGAGCGCTCCCCCGGCCCCGCAGACGGGGCAACCGGCCCCGTCCGCCCGGACACCGCCGGGAAAACAGTGCTCGCCGGGATCGACCCCTGCGCCCGCCCCCCCGCCCTTCTCTACGCGCTCCCCGCCACCGCCCCCCTGAAGGTTGAGAGACACCCCGAGCACCCCCGAGCACCCCCACCCCGCCGCTCCTACTGCGCGGCGCCCGGCGGGACGCGGCTCTCACCGGGGGCGGCGGGAGCCGCCGCTGGGAAACGAGGAGAGCCGCTCGCTGCCGCCGGGAGAGGTGCGGGGCACTCGGCCGAGCCACCTCCCGCTGGCGGCGGCACCGCCCCACCCGGTTAACCCCCTGCTCACCGTGCACGCTGCGGGGAGGGCGGCTCGACTGTGCGGGAACCGTCGTGTTCCGGGGCGGGCACGGCGAGCGGGAGCAACGCAGCCGGTGTGCGGGAAGAGTGGAGCTCTGCCGCCAGGAGAGCTGCCGCCAGGGCACGGGGGTTCGGAAGGACCTTATCCCAGAGATACCGATATGCACGCGGGTGTGGGCACGCCAAGGATGGTGGAGTCGGGTCGGGCTGTGCGGGCGTCGGTGCCTGTGTCTGCCCGTGTGTCGGTACGTACCGGCTGTAACCGCGCTGGCCGCTTCCACGGCAGGGATGGCTTCGGCTTCGGCTGCTTGGAACTTACTATTGAGTTGGAAGGGACCTACGACTGATAGCCGAGTTTTGAGTTGTCACAAGAACTAATAGTTTTTGCAGCGGAATGTGCCCTAGAAGCTGCATATGACTGAGCCAAGTGATTTAAAAGGGCTAACCAAGCAAAGAAGGGAACTGAGGCAGCCAGCCAAACAGCACCAAGTCACTTTATAACCAAGGGTATTGTCTTAAAGAAGTTCATAAGGCAGTCACTTAGAACTTTGGGGCCTCCAGACATAGATGACCACCAGAAACCCCCAATGAAGCCCCTCAGAGACATTATAAGGATATGTATATATGCTAATAAGTCTTAGAAATGTCATGAATATGTAACAGGAATACAGGGAGCAAAGAATGAATAAGCAAGTAATGCTGACATATAAGCTGCAGTGGAGGTACCTTTGTGTGCACTTCGGTGAGCTGATTCCCAGGGCACCCAGTGTGCTGTGATCATGCAGCACATCATAATAAAGAATGCCTACCTGCTAAAATTCACAAAGTGAATCTCAGAGGTTTCTTTATTTTAGGTAACACAGTGACCATTTAGTCCAGCTGCCTGACCACTTCAGGGTTGATCAAAGGTTAACATAGCAAAAAAAAAAAAAATCATAAATCACACTGTAAGCATAAATTTAATGTTATTCATACAGTAACTGAAGACACAAAACCCACAATTCTACAACACAATTTTAAAAATATTTTTTTATACCAGAACCACTCTGTAGTTTGTCACAGTAGGGAATTCTTGGGATACAGAGCAACTAAAACCTGCTTGGTGCAGAATCTTCTGTGCCTCAGGATGGTAAAAACATTGGGCACAAGGCATTGCTAGGGTGTATTTATTGCAAAATCACGTACGGCGCATTTAGAGTAAAATTTAATATTCTCTCTCACACCAAAGGACTTCATACAGGAATACAAAAGAGAGAAATACCCTGCACACAGATGCATTTCTAGGCATGAACAACATGCAAGAGGAATTGGTCAGCAAAGTCAGAAGAACATAACCTGTTCAACTTGTTTATATTTCCAGTGGGTAAAACAGAACCACAGCCTTCTAATCCATCTTCCATTTTCCCGTTCCTTGAATATTTGTCAAGACATTCAGGCTATGGTAATGGACAAGCACCTTAGAAGAGTGTTTTAATTTTGTGGAAGAAACCTTTCCTTTAAAGAGGACCCTTTCATCTCAGGGTCCACTGAAAAATCTGCTTTAGCTTTTAAGGACGTTTTCCATTTAGCTATATATCAAGAGAATAAACAATGTAAATGGCTTCTTTTGTAAATAATCAGGTTACTATAGTTATCTTGTGTGAAACATTCAATAAATTACGCATTTCTATGAGTCTAATAGTTGATAGTAACCTTTGCTCTCAGTCACCTCTAGAAAACTTTAAATGTCCTTTTAGTCTCCTGGTTTTTGTAGTGTTTAGGTTTTCATTCTATTTAGATTTAGTGGGAAAGATACCTCCTAAGTACAAATACAATATGTTAATGTGGTTTTAGAAGGGTGAAAAATACACAGCTACGTGGTGGGGTTATAACAACAATATGTAATTGGCCTCAGATTTTTATATTACATTATGAAAATTTGCATCTTTGGAAAGTAAGGCTGTCTGTCCTTTAATTATCAAACATATTCTCCTTTCTGCCTACCATATACCATTTCTATAGTCAATTGGTCAAATAATTCAGTGCAGCTGTTTTATTCACTGCATTTTGATTCCTCAGTCACTCTGTTTTGTATCATTAAAACTATTAATAGGAGGAAAAAATGTGCCAAGACTGAACTTTTGTATTTCTATTTCTAGCTTTTCTTTTCCCAGACTATAGCATAATATGTAATCACATTCTGGAAAATTATCTGCAGAGAACAGCAAAAGCAGAATATTAAGCTATTTGTTTACAGAAATAAATTGGGCTTCATCCTACATCTTTTACAACTAAGTCTGCGTATTCAGCAGCACAGATACAAGTATTTAAGAAATAGATATGCTGAAGTCAATGGAATGTGACATGCTTGAGAAGCACGAGTCAATTGAATTTTTGTTTGTATTGCAAAGTTAATGCATACATACCCTTGATCTCTGAAATATGTTTATATTTTACTCTAGTTTAAAAAGACAGTAGCAGTAAGATTTATATATTAGGTATATATCAGGACTGATTAAAATGAAAACAGCCATTAGACTTCATTACAGTGAAATGGCAGTATATAAAAGGAAAATTACTCTGCAGTTGCGAAACTGCCAAGTTATTGTTAAATCTTTATCTGGAATTCTCTTTTAAAAAACATTCACATACTCATTATACTTGGGTGCAATTAATAAAATGTAACTGCACTTTTATCTTTTGGCTTGCAAAGCAATCAGTATTCCAAAAAAAATTCTCTCTTTTACTACTTAGAGGCATTCAGGGCAGAGATGGAGCACAACACAAAGAAACAAATGTTTCAGCATTTAAAACAACAAGACTAGTTTTTGTAATAAGCACCCAGCTTTTGACTTTGATGTTTCTCTGAAAAACAAACATGGAAAACCAGAACCTTCCACTGCTTCTACATGGAACTGCTGATGACTTTGAAAACTGCCAGGTGCATGACTGCATTGACTCAGAAGCAAATTGAACAACGTGTTTACTGCGATAAGGTGAACTAACTTCCATCCTTGTGTTCAGCTGGAGCTTAATGTGTTACACCACTTTGATTTCATGTCCCTTGGAGAACAGGAAGGTTATGATTCTGCTGCAGCTCTCCATTATTCTAAATGCACAAACACATATTCCAGGATTGTCCCCCTGTTCTTATGAAGAAAAATCTCAGGCTGTTAACATTCTAACCCATGGTATTCATGCTGTGATCCATCCAGACTCAGCTGACCAACAATTCAGGTCAAAATCTCCTTAGGTTGACTAAGGAAAGCTGAATATACATTAATGGTACATTAGCAAACTTCTAAGAATCATAGAATCACAAAGGCAAGATCTTAGGAGGGGATACAACCAGGTCAGCTGACCCAAAATGACCATATGATGTCAGCTTGGATATAAAAGCTAAGAAAAGGAGGAGGAAGTGGAGGCATTCTTTATTTACAACACTTGCCTTCTGGAGCAGCCGCTACATGTGCTGGAGCTCTGCTTCCTGGGAAGCGGCCGGATATCACTTGCTGATGTGAAGCAGAGAATAAAATTAATTTTTTTTCCCCTTTTGCTTGCACGCATAAACTTTCACTTTTGCTGTAGTAAAATGCCTTATCTCAACCCAGAGATCTTATTTTGGCCATCTGAGAAAGTGGAGTGATAGAGAGGCTGGGTGGGAACATGGCACCCAGCCAGGATCAACCCACCACAACTGGTCAGGTTTGAATGCTATGAGCTCTGGGTCTGGCAACCCTTGATACTCTAACCTAGAAAAGGAGATTTCCCCAAAAAGCTCTATTGTCACAGCAGAATTAATGGTTTCAATGTATCTGGATGCAATCCACAACACAAATTGTAAGTGAAAATAGACACAAGGGAAGTAATTCCAAACACCTCCCCAGTTACAGCTTGATGTAAGCTTTTCTATCTTCAGAAAATTTTTCTGACTAGCCAATAACCATACATTTAAGCATTTGCATATGTTTTAGCCTTTTATTTTTGTAAATACAACTTGGACAGTTGAATTGCAAATGAACAGTAAAGATGGACTTGAGTGCTGGATCTTGCAATATCAACAGCAAAACTTCCACCTATGTTTGCTGAAAATTTTGAGGGTTCAGATTAGCAATAGTGTTACCTATTTCCAATCAACTTTCACATCAAAGTTCTAAAGAAAAGCAATATTAAGCCAAATCCTCTAAACATTCTGTTCGAAGAAATGTATATTTAGTAATACATTTTGGAATCTGCAGCCCTCAGATTCAAGGGTGTAAAATGTACTGAATGTACTCTGAAGAGGAAATTCAGAAAATTATCGGTTTATTAAAAATTCCACTTTTTGCAGTACTAGCAAAAAATATGAAAATAAAATTGCATCCTTTCTAATGGACTTTATAATAAATATTTAATTATTAATAACATTTCAGGGATATATCCTAATCCAAGTAGATAACAAAGCAAGTGTTAAAATACCAGTGTGTCTTAACTTTTTCAAAATATTCAAATACAACTTCTATACATTGTTATTTCAAAGTACAAACTTTTACTAGTGTGAATAAACATGGAGATCTAGCATATAATATTTTTGTTGCAGTCAAGACTTCAGGATAAATAATTTTTTTATTTAACAGCTGAAAGTGCAGATGCCATATATAGCTGAATCCACATCACTGTTAACCAATGATTCAGCTTCTATATAACAAGACTATAACAAAAAATGCCATCAGGTCTTAACTTAATTATGTGTTTGAATACTATGATCAACTAGTTCTTCTGCAGCAGGCATAGCAATAGAATTGTCATAGAAAGCTGAGTATCTGGACTAAACAAATGCATTTTTGGGATTAAGAAGCAGTCTTTCCAATGAAGCTTTGACTTTTTTACTGCAAGTATCCATACCAATTCAATTCTATTTACATTTCATCCCATACCACACAGTTGGCTTTCACCTTTCTTTGTGGCATAAATCATAAGTATACTAAAGAAACTTGATGATTCAGAAACATCAATAGCACACCCGTGTCTATTCAAGTCAGCAGCAATATGGTAATCTTATTTGACATCAGCAAAGCAGCTTGAGTTGTGTAGGAGAAAAATTCAGTTTTGCTTTGTTTATTATATTAACAAAAAGTCTGGGAATAAGCACTAACAGCTGTTGCTTGTACTTTAAAATTTGCTGTAATCAAGCACAATGAAGTTCATCCATCTTATAAACAAAATGAAATTCTCAATCAGGGATGAGTTCAACCACAAAAGTAATCTAACAGACATGTAAATAGTGCACTACATAGGCCATACAAGGGTTTACTTTCCTTAACAGTCTTTCAAGTTACTTATTACATCTCTGAAATGGTGGCTTTAACTCATTGCTTGCAGGTGGTGGTTCAGACTGAGATGGCTCTGAATCTGAAATAGAAAAAAAGATTAATGTTCACAGAATAACTTCAACCATAAGAATAAAAAAGTCAACTAAAACTTTTTTTCTCTCTCACACCAAAATGCATGGAAATTACAGTAGTTTTAATTTTGAATTAACAAGATAGACAAGCTATCTGTGAAATTTGCAGTATGATGCAAATCTATAACCTAACACAAAGGGGTTATAGATTTACGTATAGAATGGGTTGCATCTCCTGCCTGATGTGTCTAGGACTTATTCTGTGTAAGTGAAAAGAGAGAAAGCTCTGTCTCAAAAGGGAGTTGCAAGGTGTTCATGCTTACAATTGCTTTGGATGAGCAGACAAAAGTACACAAGAGGGGAAAAAAACCAAGACTACCTTCACCTATCACCTAAGAGAATGAAAAGGACAAGGTCAAAACTGAATTAAGGTACATGTCTGCACAAAACTGTTGAAAGTATTAAAAAAATCTCCTTTTACACTGAAATACAGAATCAATTGGAATAGCTACGATTGCAAAAGAGGGTAATGCAAAGCAGGTGTAATGTTATCTAAAAACTGGAAAAAGGAACTAACAAATAATATGTATCTATATATCAATCTGTGCAGCACACTGACTTTTCAGCAGCCTTTATGGTGTACCCATAATTTTTTTTTCTGTATGCATAACTGGTATAACCAAATCAATGTCATGATTACTCTGAAAAATCTTCAGCTTTCTTTATATCTCAAATGTCTCATTAGAGGCACACATTAAAGAAATCAACTATCACCAAATTAATGACTTTGAGATTTTGAAATCCAAAATCCTTTCATTTTACTCACAGTAATGGGAAAGAAAAATGTCAGTGCACAAGAAAGTTAAAGAGAATCTGAAAAAGAAAACAATATTCAAGGCTCTCTTTCAGGCTGAGGAAGAGCACATTTAGACTCCACAGTTGAATTGTTGGGTCACTCTGCCTCCCAAAGCAGCATCCTCTGTGTGATCAGAGTTTAGATAGGTAAGTTGACTTTGAAGAGTGGCTTCTCAGGTTATGCACCCTCCTTCAGGTCCAGACCAAGATCTGGTTTCATCCCTTAGTTTTATAGCAGTTTTTATTCTGAACAAAACCACACGACTTCTAGTTCTCTGTTTGCCTGCTTTATTCTGATATTCACCTGGAGGAAGAGGTTCTGCACACAAAACTAAAAAACAAATAAACAAAAAAACCCCCCTGTAAATATATTAATAGAAGACACAAAGATGAATTTAAAAAGAGCTAAAATGTCAGAGATATTAAAATACTTGGCCTCTAAGACTTTCACACATTAAAATATCAAGGTCAAGGGAATCAAGGGAATCATGATAATTCCCACTTTATATAAAATGAATCCCTGATACTAATAAAGAAAAAAATCTGGTGCATGCGATGTCTATGTTCAATAGCATTTCAAAAGATTGCTATGCAAAAGTGATATAGCAACCATGGTTACCAAGTCAGTGTAAAAAGTGTAAGTAAAAGGTCTTTGACCGAAGTAATGGGAATTTTCCTCCCCTTTAACCTTTATATACATAACCTTTATATATAAGTGTCTTCAAGTGATGTCTTTCATAGTTATTATCACTGTGCTCGACAAAGTAAGGTTTGAAATCATAGGTAAGTATTGGATAACTTTTTTCTCTTAAACTGTTGCAATTCCACTCTCTTCAACAATGTGCATATATTTATTTTGCCAAATTTTTATGAACAGTGATCTATTTCTTAAACAGGAGTATTAATGATACTTGTGACAGAAGTTTCCAGAAAAATATTAGGGGTAAAAGAATATTCATAACAAATAGGCAACAAATATTTTACAGTCTGCTTATGTTTAGGCAGGATGGCTTTGTCCCTGCAGCATTTTACAGGAACACATCACACAGAATCCCCTGCATCAGTACACAGAAGCCCCTGGATTGGAACAGAGCAAACTGCAATTGTAGAGATGAAAAAACTCCATGAAACCACCTACCTTCGGTGACTACAAACAGGAGCACTCTTTCTTTAGCTGGTCATAGGGTATTGTAAAGTAAGCACAGAAATTCAGTGCCTCTCACCACATCCAGAGAACCGCACAAATTATTCAGGCTGCCCTCTGCTGTTAGCTTGAGAGCCCAACTCATTTTAAAAGAAACAGCTTTCAATAATGTTACCTTTGGACTGTTCACTATTTTCTGATGGTTCTTGAATCTTTTTTTCCCATCCAGTACACTGCTGAAACCAGTCAGTCCCATAACCATTGTTAATTAATTTGCTAAAGTTTACTGCTTCAATTTTTCTCTGAACAGGCCTGTAAATACAAATATATTAAAGGAAAACAAAAGCATAAGTATACAAAAGTGGCAATTAGGTGGAAAAAATTTATTTTGCAGAGAAAAGGCCTTATAATATAATTTATTTCTAATTATAACATTATTTCAAAAATTATAACCATTTATAGCCTTATCATTTGTATCTAAATAACAAAACATATAGGCTACGTGTAATCATCTAAGAAAAAACCCAAAACCAACCAACCAAACAAAAAACCCATACAACTGTGCCTGATTAAGTGCTGTATAACTTTACATGAGAAGACCTATCTATTTTATTGGAATTCTACATGTATAATACTGGTTGTAGAGACAAAGACATGCAAAAGGAAAATCCCACAAAGAATGTGTAAGTCAAAAGGCTGACAATACTCATTCTGTGCTGCACAAAGGTGGAATTTTGTCACAGATTTGCTCTTAAATTCATTTGATGGTTTAATTACTTATTTTGCATCAATAACGTAGTTCTAAAAAATACTGGGATTACTGATGACCAAGTAATAAATTTCTAAGACAAAGTATGCAGAAACAATTCAGCTGCACACACAGCTGATGATTTGATTACATCACATCACATATGATAGAATAATTTGCTTAAAACAGCTCTTCTACGAGTTCATGACAGTATTTTTGCTGTGTCTGACATTGCATAGAGTACAGTTTATGTCTTTCCTTAATATGTCAGTCCTACTTGTGTCTGTAACCTGTGCTTGCAAAACTAACAATGTACATTATTGTTTTCATCTGTTCACTGGTACTGTGAAAAAAACGCAGACAATTTAGAATATCATAAAAGTGTGCTACATAAAGACATGCAAATGCATGCTTCATTTTTATAACGCAAAGTTACATTGAATAACTTTCCTATCTTAGTTAAAGTATTATTATTTTAGTTGCTTTTAAACTATTTTAGCACCACATGTGATGGCAAATTTAGTAGCAGCAAGGATCCACAATGTCTGTACACATATCCACTAATCTCTGCAATTTCACAAGAAGTAATATTATTTGCATACATAAATAGTTGCAGGCTTAGATATTTAATGAATTTCATAAGTGCACTACTTACACGGGTGGAAAGGAAAGCTTATTTGCCCCACTAAATTCCTTGCTTGTAGAAACATTCGGCATTCTGCTTGGATATTTAGGGTTTATAGCTGGGAGCTTCACCTGTGTTAGAGAAATCTTAGCTTAACAAAAGGAGTTACGAGAAAAATAACCAAGAAGATTGTATGATAGTACAGCATTAAAAGTGAGGGTGATATTAACAGCCTCTAAATGTCTTCATATTTCAATGTCTTATTTATATTATTTCCATAAGTAATAGTAATGGAGAATAGAGGAACAGCAGAAGATAAAGCAGCCTCTTAGTTAGTTATTCTACAAGATTAGCTGTTTGTTCTCTCCATAACGTGCTCTACACAACCCTTTCCCTCACAGTACATTTCCACACAAAATTAAGCTTAAAATTCAAACCTACCCATTGGAACCTCTCATTTTGGTCCATTTCTCTGTATGCAGTGTATGAAAACAGCCCAGTTTTACTAATGGCAGGGGGACCAGCAACTAACTTCCAGCTTAATTACTACTTTTTTTTTAATTAATAAAAAGCATAAAACATCCCATATAAAACTGTTTTGGTACATTAATTAGAGGTTTGAAATTCAAACAAATGCACATATATTGAGGAAAGCCTACAACAGAAAAGTGTATTTTACTTTTATCATCTTTTGATTGCCAATGACAGTTAAAGAAACTCAGTCTTGATCGAAAGACAGAAAGATAAGATGACATCTAGAAAGCCAGTGAAAAGACTTCACATACTCTAGAACTGAAAGTGGGAAAACCGAAAAGAAATGGAGAAACGTTAGCAACGCATATCAAAGCTGTTTATTTTTATCTTAGATCAAAATCAACAGCTTCTAAAGGGTCAACTTACTTCCTTCAGGGAGTCTGTGCACACTGAGTATGGAAAATGCAAAGAAAAGTATAATTGCATTTGAATACATCTAATCAATGAACTAATTAAGAAGCCTCTAAAAAACCCAGCAGATCCAAATGTTCAGAAAGTGTAAGTTTTCTTAGTATCCGAAGGAAGTGAAGCTAGGACAGACAGTTCCACTGATTCTGAACAAGGACATCAGTGCAAACATATGTGTAAAGTCAGTGCTGATACCTCTACAGACTTCAGTGGAGTCAGAGTTTCACCAGAAGTTTCGGAATCTGATAAAGACTAAGTGGATGGGCTACTAGATTTCAGCCTGAACGATGTTATGTTGAAGCTTAAACAGATGAAAAACTAGAATATTTGTCAAAGAAGAGATGATACTAGCAAGAGCATGCAGTAACATCAGGCGCAGCTACATGAGATGAAAATGGCGGGGGGGGGGTGTCTGTTGTCCAGCCTAGAGGTTAAAAAATGCATTAGCTGCTTAGAACTGATTTTCAAGTCCATTAACACTATTCTCTGCTGAAGCAGCCTATTTGTGCTTTACATTATAAAAATGCTATCCTATTGTGCAAAAATGCTAGTGCTGTCTTCTGTTATCATTAGACTGGACCACTTCAGACCTGGTATGCAATGGAAGTTTCAGATCCCGGACACAATTACCCACAGTTCCAACAAAACAACCAAAAACAATCTCAGGTGACATTTGTCACATACTGAAGGTAGAATGGCACACAGGGCGTCACAGAAACATAACTCAGTTTGAGAGTCAGGATATACAAATAGCAGATGGAAAGAGATGAGACTTTCCTCTTAGCACTGAAGAGAAGCACTAGGAAAGGAAGCACTAGCCGGGAAGCCTAGGGAGATTCTGACTGGAGGCAGACAAAGGGTCAAGCTGTCAAAACTAAAGTCAAGGAAAAAAAGGGGGAAAGGAAAGGCAAAGAGAAAAGTCTTGAAGGCTGCGAGCAAGTCTTGTGCATTGTTTCAAATGTTGTCCTTCTTGGCATTAAATGAGACAGGCTACCATAAACTCCAGGTATCAAAACATTCCCTACTGTTCAAGCGAACTAACTAATGACAGAAGTAGCAAGCAAACCAGAACTTGTTTTTGGAGGGCACCTGCTATCCTGTCAGGTGCAGTTTGTTACTTTGCTGGGCAAATTCAGCATTAAAAGCAGACCTTGTGCCACTACACTCCAATGGTTACAGCTGAGGGAGCATTTTCCCTTTGACAAGCCTCTATGTAGCAGCCATCAATTTTCGCAGATAAAACAAACTATGTAGGGCGGCTCTTTTTACATGTTCTTGGTTTAAAGTGTTTTCTTCTTTTATGAAGAGATAGCAAGAACATACTCTAAAAATTACTGTGTTTATTATACATACACATTTATTAGTCTCAGCTTCAAGAAACATGAAATGCAGTATGTATTGTGCCTGTCTGGTATATGAAGAACAATGTATACCTGCAGCCAGCATGGAAAGCTAAAAGCTCCCAGATGAAATCCTGGCTTCCCTGTGATCAAGGACAAAATTCTAGATTAGATTTCAAATCTCTCCCTGAGGTAAAATCCTGACCTCAGATGAGCAATCCTTTTGCTACAGCACACGCACACCTATGTATGTATGCATATATACACAGACATTTCAGGCAAGTGCCTGAAACAGAGGACTTCATGGATGAAGCAGTAATCTCTTACCAGTGCTGCAGGGAGATTGCCTGCAGCAATGCAAATGCAAACCCTGATACCACCTCCAACTGATCTCCCACCCATATACAGGCCTCCTTCCATCTTAAGGTCACAGCATTTTCAACCCAACCCAGCTGGGACAGATGATGCACAGGCAGAAGGACCACCGAATCACAGAATGGTTTGGGTTGGAAGGGACCTTAAAAATCATCTAATTCCAAACACCCTCGGCCATACGCAGGGAGAGTTTTCACTAGACCAGGTTGCTCAGAGCTCCATCCAGCCTGGCCTTGAACAATTCCAAGGACTGGGCATACACAACTTCTCTGGGCAACCTATTCCAGTGCCTCACCACCCTCATAATAAAGAATTTCTTCCTAAAATCTAATCTAAACCTACTTTCTTTCAGTTTGAAGCCATTGCCCCTTGTCCTGTCACTGCATGCTCTTGTAAAAGTCCCTCTCCGTCTTTCTTTCATCCTTCAGGTACTAGAAGGATGCAATTAGGTCACCCTGAACCCTTCTCTTTTCCAGGCTGAACAATCACAATTCTTTCAACCTGTCCTCATAGGAAAGGTGCTCCATTCCTCTAATTATGTTGGTGGGCTCCTCTGGACTCACTCCAAGAGGTCGATGTCCTTCCTGTCCTTCCAGTGCTGGATGCAGTGCTCCAGGTGGGATCTCACCAGAGAGGAGTAGAAAGGCAGAATCACCTCCCTTGACTTGCTGGCTATGTTGCTTTTGATGCAGCCCAGGATACAACTGACTTTCTGGGCTATGAGCACACATTGTTGGGTCATGTCCAGCCTCTCGTCCAGCAGCACTCCTAAGTCCTTCTCAGCAGGGCGGCTCTCAATCTGTTCATCCCCCAGCCTGTGTTGATACCAGGGTTGCCCCAACTCAGGTGCAGGACCTTGCACTTGGTTTTATTAAACTCCATGAGATTCCCACGGGCTGCTTCTTCCTGGGCCAGAAGTCCATCACTTTGCCATGAGCACAAAGGCTAAATCCTTCACGCACTAGCACATCTTTGCTGCTTTGCAAAATTCCCAGCAGAATGAAAATTACCACTGTGATTAAGGTGTTAAGGAGGAACTACAAGATCCATCCCGAGGCAGGGAGAAACCATGTAATAGTCCCCTTGATCTCCAGTACTCTACACAGCAACAACCATGAGAACACTGGAGATATTACTACTTCATAACAAAGCATCATAAAGGCTTAAACCTCCTGAGCAGGGACCCACTTGGGAACAGTGTTTCCATTGTTTTCTTCTTCCAGCTGAAGAGGTACCTTTAGAGGTTAAAATGGTTTTGCACTTGTCCCTAAGGGTATCCTTTGGGATTTAACTCCATGATTGCATCATGTATCTCTCTTTTGAATACTTAGTCAGACTGGACTGAGAAATATTTTCAATACATTCAATCTCAATACTTGAGTTAGTTTGCTGCTGTACTGTCATCATGTAGTCAAATAAATAAATTGAATATTCCTTAAAAATTTGCCTGTGGTGTGTTGGAATACATCTCTTACAAGATGTATAGTGAAAAAACTAAAATTGAGACTGTTTGGGAGGGCTTGTTTCATTGCCTCACTTGGAAGACTCTTTGGGAAGGTACTCTAAGAGCACAGGATAGAAACCTCCCAAAAGAGGATATACAAGAATTAGATGTGAAAGAAACACCATGTGATGTTTCAAGATACACGATACACTTTTCAGGGTACAACAAAGATTCTGTGAAGGACAGCCATATCAGAGATGGTGGTGTGAAGGCAGAGCTAAACCTAGCAACACAGAATCTGATTCTCAGGCACTTAACCTTAAACAGAAACATCTGGTAGATTTAGAACTTTAGACAAAACTCAACTTCAGCTTTTGGAAGTATAGTGTAAATTATATATCAAGGCCTCAGCAGATTTGGAATCTGAGCTGAATATACAACATATACTCACTTTGTATTTAGTGACAAATAAAACACACGGGAACTTTCAATTGGATGAGTGAATGAAACTGGATCTCAGTCAAGCTCCACCCAAACTGAAATGGACCTCAGTCTCACAAGTCACCACATGGATTTTAATTACTCTTACTGTTATCAAAGTTAAGTTTGACCCTTAAAATACTTGAGATAATTGGTTCTTAAGTAAGGGAGTGAGGGACAGCACTTCTTGTCTGTCCTAATTCAATCCTTTAAGAGGCTCTGCAGCAGGCCAAGTTTTTATTTTCAGTGCCTTAAATCTATGACTGAAAAAAAGCTTCACCAACAAGAATCAGGCAAATTACAGTTTAAACATACATTGCTTGTTTGCCTGTTGACATAGATTAAGTAAACATTCCTGAGCCTATTCAGTAATGAGGTGGTCCCATTTACACAAGTCATCATTCTGAACTTGCACTAATTACTCCTCTCAGCAAAGGCTCAGGACTTTTTTTTCCTAAAATGTGCAAAATCTGCCCTTCTGTTCAAGAAGAGAGGTACTAGTGTCCAAGTACATCAAATGCCTTTCCATGTATACCCCAAAGACCTATGGAAATGTGGCAACCAACATTATGGAGGATATTTAAAAAACATAAGGCTTCAGTATCTAAAATGAGCAGGGGCAGGGAGGATGAAAGAGGGAGGATGGCAGAGAGGTTTCCAGGACAAAATACAAATATCAGCACAGAAATGTTTGTTCTAGACATAGCTGTGCCTGCTTCGTCTTGGATACATCTTTCATTCAAAGACAGCTAGTACAGTATCTTTGGGCACTCTTTTGCATTTTAAACTAAACCAAACTCCTTTTTCAGAACAATCGTCTGTTCTTACCTCCTTCTTTCTTCTTCACTCAAGATTACTTAAGAAGAAGTAATTACTTAACAACAAGTAACATCCTTACCAAGAATGAATTGTAGGGGCAATAAAGCATAAGAAGATAGAAACTAACTAGTGGCTTTCATTCACACTGAAGTATATGCACCATATAACGTGATTGAACACTGTGTTTCTGGTTCTTATGCTACACCTGCAGCATTTAACAGAAACATGGCTTTCTTCTCATTCTCTAACTCCAATACAAAAATTGCTTCTGGAATACAGAAACTTATGTGGATTACAGCTTCCCTTCTAGAAGAAGCAACAGGCCCAGACAGAGCTATGTTCACAAGCTCTACAAAGCATTGTCAGAGCGCCTCTCGATCCTACCTTCTTTTTCTCTGCATTTTCTTTGTCCTCAGCATCCCGTTGCCAAACACTTTTAGTATCAAAATCAAAAGGCCCTCTTCTTGCCTCATAAGTGTTACCATGATGGTCATCAGCCTTAAACTCTCTGTGAATGATATATTCTGGTAGAGAGGAAACAGAGCTCCTGCAGGCAAAGATTTAACACCTGTTTGCACCAGGGATACAAATCTTGCACTTTAGTACAGAAGTATTCTGAAATGTTAATAAGCGAAGACAGAACTCAAGATTTTATGTAGGGCTTCAGCAGGCTTACCATGGCTCATCCATTGCTGGGGGACTGGTGTGGTGTAAGTACCAGTCAGGTGCAGCATATGCTGCTGAAGGGGACTTCATTATCACAGGAGTGTAGTGCTTCAGTAGGTCTGGAGAGAAAAAGACAAAAGTCACTACTTTTCTGACTTCTTCTCTGGTTGCAAAAGCATTACCTTTGTTTTCAGGTTGCTGTTTTGTCAGGAAGAAATGCTTGCTTTCTTCAGTAAGGAGCATTTATGTCCCTTGATAATACAGTCAGAACCTTGCAGCACTGTGTTCCAACTGTACCTTGTTTGTCTTGCTCTAAATGCTTTGACATGTTTCTGCTGCTCAGTTAATTCATATTTCTGGATTTGTTTCTCTGAATGCGCATCTGCTCAAGTTCCTCAAGCTTCCTTCTTCAATAAAAAGGAAATAACAAACCCACACATCACCCTGGTATAAGAACAGAATATGTACAGCACTGTAACAAAATGAAGTAATTACAAAAAAACGCTTTATAAACCTCTACTAAGTTTTCTGATGATGGTTTTTTGTGAAATTATTTTCACTAGGCCACTATTTAAATAGCCCAAGCATAAATTGCAGAGACCTCACTCAAATGCAGCCAGACCATCATCACCCATTTAGACCAAACATAGGTCAAGACTTCATGTTTTGCTAAAGAGTACCCATACACAAGAGACAGCAAGGATGCCTTGACAAGGTGACCTCTACATTTTCATTCGCTCATTTTTTCCACAGGTTAATTTCAAAAGTCCAGAGTATCCTTCTGTAGCATCTATAAGTACTTTATACCACACTCAAGTAAAGCCAAAGAAAAGTAAGGAAGACCAAAGAAGCAAGACAAATGCTCACCAGGTTGGCCTCCTTGCTTTGCCAGCCTCACATAAGCAGAATCAGTGTCTTTGATCCACTTCTTGAGGCACCCAGAAGGTGGCACTTCATGGGGAGCTTTTGAAAGGTCACTGAGACTCTGGGATGTTGGGGGAAGTGGGCTCTTCTCTGATTGTTTCGGTGGCATGGGGTATTACCGTCCTGCGGTAATAGAAAAGAAAATATTTATAGTAAAAGTTAACTACTAGCACCCCTTTTTCAGGCAACTGACAAATTGAGCCCACCTGGAACACGAACGAGGTGCTACATTTCAGCTTGGAGACAAAAGACCAAGCTTGCTTATTCCAGGGGATATAGCACTTTTGTTTCAGTTTTGAAACAGCATTCAAGTTTTCCTGTAAAATGTTCTAATCCACTTCAATCAGAAAACTATTTCCAAGGGCACCAAAAGCAGCAAGAGGCACTGGAGACAGCAAGAAACACTAAAGCCTTTGGTTTCCTTTCCTTTTCATGCATTAACAAAAACAGCACCTGTCTGTTTGCAGGTCTTTATGTGTAAAACAACCAAACCCGATTCCCAAATAAAAATCATTTTAAAAACCAACACTCAACACCCTTCGTCTCCATATATTACTTTCTCAACTTCTAGTGAGCAAAAGAAAATATAAATAAATCCTTCATAATGGTAAAATGGACAGAAAGCAAACAAGAAAAAGCCAGTCGAAGGCACTGTGCCATGGAAGGTTAACAGGCACTTACCGAAGCTATTCCAGGTGCAGCTGATGCCGTTCCATCGGTGTAAAGCAACCACTTCCAGGCTGCAGCCCGCTGAGCAGCCCCTGGGCACACACATGCGTTGCCTGTGCCCAAACTCAGCCCCAAGGAACAACAACAACAACCCAAGCGCTGCCTCTCGCCGGCGTCAGGGGCGCGGAGGCTCCAGCCGGTGCCCGCTGCCGGCCCCACGGCAGGTCTGTCCAAGGCTGCGCGACCCCGTCGCCCCGGCTCTCTCCCGCTGGCGCTGCCCAGGGTTCCCCCGCTACCGCAGCTCAGAGACTGAACCGCGGTTACCCGACCGGAGACCGACATCCCCCAGGGAACGGGCGGGACGGGCCCCGAGGGTGAGTCGCGGGAGGAGTCGGACCCCACCGAGACGGGGGGCCTTCCTCCCTGCCTTCCTCCCTCCCTCCGCGGGCGGCCGAGGGCGGTGCGATGCTCGCTACTCGCGGCAGTAGCAGCCCGGAGACGACGCGAGAGGCGCCCACCCGGATCGCGCCGCTACTGGGAAGAAAAAGAAATGAACTCCATCCCAGCTGAAAACCGTACAAAATCCACCTCCTTTTCCATGCCCTTTACCATTCTATACTATTTAGTCTTTGCTTTCTGAACGGTCCGTGATCGCTTCCAGGATTCCTGGACGACTGGGGGTTTCCTATTGGAGCTCAGTCTGATCAGTCCGACCCACTTACTCCGTGTAGCATCGGTTGCAGCCGTGTAGAGGAGACCCTCCCTTAGAACGGCCAGCCCAACACGAGTAACTGGGATGCCAGGACCAGTTGCTTCAGTACAGATCGCTTCCAAAGCAGCTCAAACCCCTTCATAAGCTACAAATATCTCTTTTTGAGTTGGAGTAGAGTGGAGTTCAGATCCTCTGTATCCCCTACTCCAGAAACCTACAGGGAGACCCCAAGGGTCCACTGATACTTTCTGCCAGGGGCTCCAGGTAGGACCATTCTCCCCGGCTGCAGTAGAGAGCACATTTTTTAAGTCTTGCCCTGCCTGGACTGGCCCAAGGGTGACTACATGAACTGTCTCCTGTTTGATTTGTTCAAAGGCCTGTTGTTGCTCAGGGTTGGTTGCATCATGCTGTGCGGCGTGCCAGGTTGCATGCTGGTTGGTTAACTTGTGTATGTTCCATGCATCTTCTGTGCCGTGTGGCAATCCCACCCTTCCCAAACAAACCCATCCCCACACAAACTGCTGCTGCTTAATGCTTTTTATTGGTTGACCAAGCTTGGGGGGCTAGAAGCAGGGGTGGGCTCTTGGGAGTCTACAGGGGACAGCTGGGAGTTCAGATGGGATGGTTGGAAGTCCAGAGTGTCACTCCTCATTGAGTCCTTTCTGATAGAGAAGGAGAAGAAGGGAGTGTGAGCATGGGGCAGTGGTCAGATGGCCGTGGGGCAGTTGTGAGTCAAGGGGAAGTCCCACCTTGGCTCCAATGTCACGGCTCTTGGCCCGCAACTTGTTGACCTGAGACTCAGCGATGTCAGCACGCTCCTCCGCCTCATCCAGCTCATGTTGTGCCTTGCGGAACTTGGCCAGGTTGGTGTTGGCCTGTTCCTCCTGGAGGACAGGGGCGTCAGCAGGGCTGCCCCACAGCTTCATCTGTCCTCCTGCCACCCCCTCTGCTCTCTGTCCATCCAAACTTCTAATTGCTCCATCTGGTCCACAATGGACCCATCTGTCCCTCCAGCAATCCCATCTTCCAGCCATCCAAACATCTACTCAACCATCCATTCATCCTTCCATCCATCCATCCAACCTGCTTAAACTTCCAACCACTTCTCCAGCCATCCAGTCAGTCATCCTTCTGTCTCACCTTTTTTCCAACCTTCTTTCCATCCGTCCATTATTCCAACCTTCACACATCCCACCATGGTCTCTCCATCCCACTACCACCCACCTTCCTCAGCCCCTGACATCCCACCTCTTGACCACCTCATTCTAAGGTCACCTGCTACTCCCTACATCCTGTCCCACACCTCAACCTGATGCCATTCCCTCCTGGGGGTGGTCCCAAAGCTGCCCCCCACTGCTCACCGCCTCCTCCGCCTGTCGCTTGTAGGCCTTGACCTTCAGCTGGAGCTTGTCCACCAGGTCCTGGAGCCGGACCATGTTCTTACGGTCCTCCTCTGTCTGGGGGTAAGACACGTGTGGATCACCACCAAAGCAGTGAGGGTCAGGAGACAGTTAGAGATAATCTTGGGGAGTGGAGCCCCTCTAGATCTGTGAGTGGCCTCAGCTGTGGGACAAAAGGTATGATGTCTCCCTGGGTGAAGGTGTCTTTTTTGCCCTGATGAGGTCCCACCTGAGGTTCTGGATCATGCAAAGACCCCATTTATACTGGAACAGTGGGAAGCAGCTTAGGTGGCTTGCAGCCACTGGGCCTATCATATTCTGGGTTCCACCACAATATTGGACATAGAGGCAGTGGGTGGTCTAGTTCCCCAGTGTCTCCCTGGCTACCAGGTCAGCCATGTTATATGTCATGTACAGCATCAGACATAAGGCCCTGTGGACAAAGGGCCAGTCCAGGTGCCCTACCTGGTAGCTGAGCTCCTTGACACGACGCTCAGACTTGCGGAGACCCTTAATGCTCTCAGCGTTGCGCTTCTGCTCACCCTCCAGCTCATTCTCCAACTCCCTCACACGGG